CAATCCATTCACCTCAGCCTCCCAAAGCGTGGGATTACAGGCTGAGCCACCGAGTCCGGCTCAAAATAGGACTTTACAAAAGCCAGCTGCTTTTTTTTTTTTGCAGAAATTCTAATATTCAAATGGAAATGTAAGCAACCCAGAGAGTTGAAACAATCTTTTTTTCCCTCTTAAATAATCCTAAAGCCTCCCAACCCCCCAGAACAGTGAACGCTAGACACGAGAGAGAAAAGTGACGTCTTCTAGTCACAGTTAAGAATGAAGCCTCAGTCAGGTGCGGTGGCTAATGCCTATAATCCTAGCACTTTGGGAGGCCAAGGTAAGAGGATTGCCTGAGCCCACAGGTTTGAGAGCAGCTGGGCAACTTGGCGAGAATTCATCTCTACAATAAATAAAAAAATTAGCCAGGCTTGGTGGTGCATGCCTGTAGTTCCAGCTACTTGGAAGGTTGAGACAGAAGGATTGCCTGAGCCCAGCAAGTCAAGGCTGTGGTGGCCATGAGCGTGCCACTGCACTCCAACCTGGGCGACAGTGTGATACTCCAACTCAAAAATAAATACATACATACATAATAAAAAAATGAAGCCTCAGCTGGGCTCGGTGGCTCAGCCTGTAATCCTGTGCTTTGGGGGCCTGAGGTGAGTGGATTGTCTGAGCCCGCGGGTTCGAGACCCACCTAGGCAACTTGCCGAGACCTCCTCTCTACAATAGATCAAAAAATTAGCCGGGCATGGTAGCGCGCGCCTGTAGTTCCAGCTACTTGGAAGGCTGAGGCAGAAGGATCACCGGAGCCCAGTAGGTCGAGGCTGCGGTGGCCATGAGCGTGTCACTGCACTCCAGCCTGGGCGACAGAGTGAGACTCCAACCCCATCCCACCCACCAAAAAAGAAAATACACAAATTGCCAGGAAACACATGAAAAGATTATCAATATCAGTAGCTATCAAGGAAATGTAAATCAAAACCACTTCACACTCTCTGGAATTGTCTAATTTAAAAAATGAAAACTAACAAGTTTGTGGATCTCCTCCCTTGTATCTGTACAACGAAGTATCGTGCAGCCATAAAAAGGAACCAAATTCTGATACATACTACAACATGGATGATTCTTGAAAATATTATGCTAAATTAAGAAGCTAAATACAAAAGGGTACATATTGTATGATTCCATTTATGTGAAATGTTTGGAATAGAAAGAGAAACAGAAAGCAGATTAGTGATCGCCACATACTGGGAAAAGGGAGGAGAGAAGAGTGACGGCTAATGGGTATGGTGTTTCTGGGGTGATGAAAATTTCTAGAATTAGGTAGTGGTATTGCTGTACAACCGTACAAATATACTAGACATCACTGAACTGTATCTTTTTTTCTTTTTTCTTTTTCTTCTTTTTTTTTTGTTGAGTGGGAGTCTCACTCTATTGTCATTCTGTTGTCCAGTCTGGAAGTGCAGCAGCACAATCATGGCTACTGCAGCATCCACCTACTGGGCTCAGGCGATCTTGCCTTTGCCTCGCCAAGTGCTGGGATTACAGGCATGAGCTACCATACCCGGCAAAATTTTATACTTTCAAATAACAAATGTTATCTCAATCCCAAATCATAAAATACTATATACCTCCATTTATATACAATTCTTGAAATGATGAGTTTCTAGAAATGGAGAGCAGATTAGTAACTGCTAGAGTTAAGTGGGTATGCCTATAAAGAGGCAACATGAGGAATCCTTGTGGTGGTGGAAATGCTGTGCCTTGACTGTGTCACTGTTGATATATTGGTTTTTGATACTCTACTGTAGTTTTGCAAAAATTATTATTGGGCAAAACTGGGTAAAAGATACACAGAACTTCTCTATATTATTTTTATGGTTACATATAAAACACAATTATTTCAAAATAAAAACTTAATTGTTAAGATTGAAAAATTTGCCCTCAACCTCAGATGACCTACTTGTCCTTTGTATATCTGGCTAGTTTCAAGCATCCATCCCGCTCAAACCCCTTATTCTACCACCTCCCTATCAACAGATAACACCATCACTTCCAAGTAACATCTTTTGGGTTCTTGTTACGTGACAAAGAACTTTATGTACTGCCTTTATGTGCTAAGAGGTTTATATGTTTTAACTCATCTCATTGTCATAACAGTTAACTTTGTTTTTTGTTTGTCTGTTTTTGAGTCAGAGTTTCACTCTGTGGCCCAGACCACACTCATGGCCACCATAACTCTGACCTGTTGGGCTCAGCCAATCCTTCTGCCTCAGTCTTCCAAGTAGCTGGAACTAGGTGCACCTCACCATGTCCAGCTGATTTTTTGATTTATTGTAATGACGAGTTCTTGCCAAATTTGCCCAGGCTGGTCTCAAAGCTGTGGGTTCAGGCAATCCTCTTGCCTCCACCTCCAAAAGTGCTGGGATTACAGGCGTGAGCTACCGCACCCAGCCTAACAGTTAACTTTGAATTCTACTATTCACAGGAAGTAGCAACCTCGGACACAACTTCTCCACTTCACCATCTTCCATTCACTCCTTTTCTTCTTCCTTTAGTAATGAAAAGAGGTGTCCATCCACAGGCTAAGGGCCATGCTTTTACTTGAGCACTAGATTCTGCTTCCTCAGGATCCTAACTCCATTCAATATCCTCTTTCTTGTATTTAAACCCCTCTCTGTTAGCTCTATCTTGTCAAAATTTAGATATTTTCTTGTCTCCTCCTGTCTTAAATAATAATAATAATAATAGTAAAGCTTCCCCCAACCTGATTAAACATCAACCATTCTCCCTCTTCATCTTCACATAGTCACTTTTCTTTTCCTTCTCTCTCTCTCTCTCTCTCTTTCTCCCTCCCTCCCTTCCTCCCTCTCTCTCTTTATTTCTTTTCTCTTTGAGTCTCACTCTGTCACCCAGGCTGGAGTGCAGTGGCACAGATCACAGTTCTCCTGGGCTCAGGTGATCCTCCCACCTCATGAGGCCTCTCAAATAGTAGCTGAGGCTACAGGTGCGTGACACCATGCCCAGCTAATTTATTTTATTTATTTGGGGGTTTTTTTTTTGGTTTTGTTTTTTGTAGAGATGAGAGTTCCCTATGTTGCCCAGACTGGTCTTGAACCCTGGACTCAAGAAATACTCCCCTCTCGGCCTCCCGAAATTCTAGGATTACAGAATCCCACCGCGCATGGCCAGCCACGATTCTTAAGAATTCTTGGCACTTTTTTGTCTTCCTAAACTTCCATTCACTCCACAATCCGTTACAACTTGATTTCTGCTCGCCCTCTAAGAAGCCCGACCTATTTCCATCATTTGACACTACTCCCTGTTCTCTCTTTTCTTTGGGTTTCTCTGACATCACCACCCCTGTGCGAGTTAAGTGACACAAGTGACCTAAAAAGAGGGAAACAAAGTTACAATAAAGTAGGGCATGCGAATGGCGAAGGAAGTACAGGTGAGTGGCGATTGTTACTTTCTGAGGGCTGACTCGGGAGACAAGAGTACTACTGACTTGGGATCAGAGTAACCCTGGGCCATAAAACAAAGTGACTATGACTTTCACTCTCTCTGCCGCATAACTGTCCCTCTCCCTTTTTTCAGGCCCTGCAAGTACTCTGGGAAAACTAGAGCATAATGAGTACGCGACAGGCGGCAAAGGCCGGCCCTGGGTCTGCTAGGGCACGCTCTGCGGACTGTGCGTTTGGGAGCGATGAGGTCCGGGTCCAGCTAGCGGAACCCTGTCGCGGGACACGCGTTGCCGCCTGGCGCCGGACCGCCGGGCAGCGGACGCTTGCGCGCCTGCGCGGTGGCGCTTCCGGCCCCGGCCGAGGCGCTTGTCGTCCTTCGAGGTTCGTGGACACGGCGCGGGGGATCCTGGGGCGGCTCCAGGCACCTGTCGCCGCCCTCTCGGAAGGGCCCGGGCCGGAGTGCGCCGTGGGTTTCCCGGGAATCGGGTTCGAAGCTGGCACTGAGAGCTGCAGCTGCGTCCCGGTGTCTCAGTCCTGCACGGGCAGCGACGCCGAAAAAGGGAAAGGGTGGCGGTGGAGGGCGGGAGGAAACCAGATTCCCGTTAAATAGATTTCTCCGCAGATCCTGTGCCGTTAAGCCCTGTGAGCCCACACTTTTTTTAAAAATGAAGAAATTAAGGCTTAAGGAACTAGAGAGTCGCCTACAACAAGTGGATGGATTCGAAAAGCCCAAGCTACTTCTAGAACAGTATCCCACCAGGCCGCACATCGCAGGTAGGGCGGCTGGCTCACCACGCCCCTGCTTTCGGGATTAGTGCTGTCTACTCACTCACTGTGATGAAAAGAGAAGTTATTTGGATACAAAGAATGTCTAGAGAAATTCTGTCCTACGATCACGTAAGGCCTCTGCCTTCCTTCTCACTGCAGCTAAAAACACCCTTCTACAGAGACACACACACTTTATCGTTTTGCTGTTTGATTTTCTGCACACCCCTTAACACTGTCAGACGTCTTTTTACTGTTTCTTTCTGTCATCACATTATAAACGTCTTGAGGACAAGGAATTTGTTAGTCTTGTTTACACCTGAATCCTTAGTGCCTGGAAGAGTTGCTGGTACTATTTAAGAGCTCGGTAAATATTTACTAAATACGGATCGATTTCCTATTACCCCCCAATTGGCCCGGGCAAAGTTCCTGTGCTGTACTCTGCACTAGAAATGAATACCAGAGTCGGTAGCAGAAGGACGGAATTGAACGAAACCAGAATACATACTGTATAAAGATGAGCGTGCATTTCAGTTTTAACAAATTCTTTGAGCATTAGCATTGTTGCTTCATGGCAGAGATTGGTCTGGAAGCACAGAAAATAATGCAGGAAACCCCATTCGTATTTAATAAACGTGTTGCCAGAGTCGTTGGAAAGTCTTAGGAAAATTAATTTCCTGGGAGCCACTTGGATGGAGAATTTTTTCAGTTCCAATGAAAGTCAAGGAGAACACACACATACTTGTAGTTAACATAATTCCAACCAAAGCTTCGCACAAAACTACTGTCTATGTTAAGAGCAGTTTTCTCAACTTAGATAATGACTTATTACAATCTTCTGGCTTTTTTTTTTAGTGGAATCAAATTTTAAAAAATAAATAAGCTGACTGGGTGCAGTGGCTCACACTTACAATCCCAGTGCTTTGGGAGGCCAGGAGTTCACGATCGGCCTGGGCAAAATAATGAGACCCCAGTCTCTATTTTTTTTCAAAAATTAGCTGGACATGGTGGCATACGCCTCTACTCCTAGCTAATTGGGAGGCTGAGGTGGGGGGATTTCTTGAAGCTTGAGCCCAGGAGTTTGAGTTACAGTGAGCCTTGATTGTGTCACTGCATTCCAGCCTGGGTGACTTGGTGAGACCTCATCTCCACACTATACCAAAAATTTAACTGGGCATGGTAGCGTGCATCTGTAGTTCCGGCTATCTGGAAAGCTGGGGTGGAAGTATTGCCTGAGCCCAGCAGATGGATGCTGGGGTGACTGTGAGCGTGTTACTAGTGAGACTCTGACTCAAAAAAAAAAAAATCGATTGCTTTTACACTCAGTGTGTAACATGTACTTCCCTGTGCTTGTTCTTTAAGATGCCAACTTCAAAATTACTAACACCTGCAGCAATAGTCACGACTCCACAGTCTGAGATGATATCCCTTTAATTGTGTTTTTAATAAAACCTCTGGATCCTCGGCATTAGTGATGACCAGCAGTCCTTGCTGGGTTTAGATATCCACAGGGAAATATCAGTGGTGTTATTCATGTTCAGTCTTCAGTATATCTAAGACCTTTGTGTATTTGAAAGATCTTTTCCCAATCTCAGCAACTTCTGCCCTTCTCCTCATAAGTTCTATTATTGGGTCAATTCTTTATCCTTAAAATGTTAATGCTTGTTTGACATTTGTGGTTCCTAGTCCTACAGATCTTACAGATCAGTAAAATTTCAAAGCAATTTTGGAGGCTGATGTAGGGTTGCCAAATGTATATTTTGACAAGGAAGGATATTTTTAAAACCCTATTTACTCTTGCCATTGTTTCATAAAAATATTTCAGCATCAAAGAAAGAACTGATATATTTGGTGTGTATGGCAATGTTTTGAATAGGCTGAGGAAAAATACAACATTTTGACTTTATTTTTCTCATTATACCTCAGAGACCCGTCACAGTTTTGTAATTCTTGGCATTGTCAGCAGAGCTTGGTTTTTGAGAGCCAGTGATGTGTGTTAGCCTCCTTTATGATGCCTCTTGCCACATATGAATTTTTTTCAAGATATTATTTATTTTAAAAAAATTTTTTATTTTTAAGATGTGGGGTACAATTTAGGATTTGGTATACAAGTGGTCATTGTACAGGCAAAGTTTGGGTTTCCTTTTGGTCCCCACTTTGCCTGGTTTGAGATCAGGTACCCTTGTTGATGTTGTGCCCCCCACCCCTGCCCCGGCAGTATCCCACTACTACCAATCCCTTATAGTATTATGGTAAATGTTCAGGGTCTGCTTATGAGTGAGAACATAGGATATTCTGTTCTTTGTTTCTGTGACAGATCACTGAGTATGATAGACTTTAATACATACGAAATTATTACACCATATCTTTTAAAAAAAAAAAAACAATCTGGAGCACCATTTGTGGGAGGACTAAGTAATACAAGAAATTATTTAAGAAATGATCACTTGCACAAATTGGATTTCGGTCATCAGCTTGCTTACTTATTTCCTAATGTGTGTGTATATGTATTTTTTTTAGCATGTATGCTTTATACAATCCACAACACATATGATGATATTGAAAATAAAGTGGTTGCAGATCTAGGATGTGGCTGTGGAGTGCTTAGCATCGGATCTGCAATGTTAGGAGCAGGGTAGGTAATCCAATATATATTATTTGGGTATGGGATGGCTTTAATAAGAAGCATAAATAGGATCAACTGAATTAGATTTATGGGACTCTATAGTGTGAGATGAGGGGAGTGAATCCAGTAGTACATTCTGAATGGGCAGAAGATCAAAATAAACTTCAAAAAATAAACAACAATGGTAATAGCAGCAGTCCCTTTTATACAAAGTTGAGTTTTACAACCTCTACCAGCTTGGGAAATCATGCTATTGAAAAGTGACACTCAACTGTACATTAGAATTGGGTTGAAAAGATATATGCTAGCCGGGCTCAGTGGCTCAGCCTATAATCCCACACCTTTGGGAGGTTGAGGTGAGTGGATTGCCCGAGCCCACGGGTTCGAGACCCGCCTGGGCAGCGAGACCTCATCTCGACAATAAATAAAAAAATCAGCCAAGCGTAGTAGCGCATGCCTGTAATTCTGGCTACTCGGAAGGCTGAGGCGGAAGGATCGCTGGAATCCAGCAGGTGGAGGCTGCGGTGGCCAGGAGCGGCCACTGCACTCCAGTCTGAGCGACAGAGAGACTCCAACTCAAAAAAAAAAAAGATATATGCTAATATGCTAATATATACTTTAATTATATAATTGTTTTGTTTTGGGAGCTATAAGTTGCTACTCTTTGTGTGTGTTTTGTATTTATAGGTTGTGTGTTGGATTTGAGATAGATGAAGATGCACTGGAAATATTTAATAGGAATGTGGAAGAGTTTGAGTTAACAAATGTTGACATGGTTCAATGTGATGTGTGCTCATTATCTAACAGAATGTCCAAGTCATTTGATACAGTAATTATGAATCCTCCCTTTGGGACCAAAAATAATAAAGGTTGGTAACAAAAATCAGATGTATTGGTGTATTTGTAGAAAAACAAATTTTAAAAGTGATTTTTAAGGCCAGGCTCAGGGGCTTGAGCCAATAATCCCAGTACTTTGAGATGTCAGGGTGGGAAGATCCCTTGAGGTCGGGGTTTTAGATCAGCCTGGGCAACATAGTGAGACTCCTTCTTGACAAAAAATTTAAAAATTAGCCAGGCATGGTGTTGCATGCCTATAGTCCTAGCTACTCAGGAAGCTGAGATAGGGGGATCTCTTGAGCCCAAGAAATTGAGGCTACAGTGGGCTATGATTTCACCACTGCACTTCAGCCTAGGCGACAGAACAATATCCTGTCTCTAAAAAACAAAATTAAAATTAAAACCATTTTTATCATTTACTGTTTGGCTTAAGTGATTGTATCATTGTTCATTAAATAAATCAATCTCTTACCTAGATAATTATTATAATTTTTTTATTTTGAGCCAGAGTCTTACCCTGCCTCCCAGGCTAGAGTACAGCAGCACAGTCACAGTTACTATAGCCTTGACCTGTTGGGTTCAGGAGATCCTTCCACCTCAGCCTTCCAAGTAGCTGGGACTGCAGACACACACCACTATGCCTGAATGTTTTTTTATTTATTTTAGAGATGAGGTCTTGCTATGGTGCCCAGGCTGATGATCTCAAACTCCTGAGCTCGGGCAATTATCTCACCTCAGCCTCCCTAAGTGCTGGGATTACGGGTATGTGCCACTGTGCCTGGCTATATAGTTACTATAATTTAAATTTCAATTTGTTTAATGCATTTCTAGGGGATTGAATTTTTCAACCTCTGCTTTTACAAATTTGTATTAAGTACATATAGTCTTCGTGTTCATTTATTATTTATACACCACTTGCTTTTGAGGATAATTTGCCTAGCCCTTATGAATTAGTATGAAACCTATAAGGAATTTTATACTTGTAGAAACTGTTTTTAATGTCTTAACAGACCAAAGGGGTTCAACATGTGCCTATCAGTAACAGTGACTTGCTGTGGCTATTTTATGTGTACTGCAGGCGAGGAGGGTGAAACCTCAATAATAGGAGGGAAATATTTACATAGTTTAAAAAGTACCCCCCACTCCACAATCATTCTGATTACTACTCTGTTTTCTTCTCCTTTTGAAAGTCATTAGTTTGGAATATATTATTAAAATTTTACTTTAGCCTTATTTAACTAAGACAGTGTAATTCTGTTTTTATTCTGTCAACCTAAAAAGAATATTTTAATAGTTTATTTATTTGTACCCTCATTGCAGAAAGATTTTCAGGTGGCCATTTGGAGTTTGTAAGAAAATGTTTCTAAATCCTACTAATCGTCTGTTTTGATAAGAGATACATAATGTAAATAGGAGTTTTTTCCTATTCTTTACAGGGAAAGATATGGCTTTTCTAAAGACTGCTTTGGAAATGGCAAGTACAGCAGTATATTCTTTACACAAATCCTCAACTAGAGAAGTAAGTTCAAATCATCATGATATTCTGTGTCATTTATTTTTAAATTCATGACAGCGTTTTAAGGATTTGCTGTGAATACTAAATACCACAGTATCTATTTCTCCTGACCTTTTTGACATCTGGCACTTAGAAATGGAATTTTCCCTTTAACCAGCTAGCATCTGTGATTAGCTTTTTTCCAGGATAAACAACTGACTTCTTCCAAATATTTTCTTCAGTCAGGTACTGTTTCCAGGAAAGAGATTATAACTCAGTAGAGAAGTGTTATAACTAGGGTTATGGTATGTTTTAGTTAGCCTGGGTTAGTCCTATTTGATGCCTTTTGTCCTATTGTCCCTGTGTGGCCTGGTGTGCCTAAGGGAGGAATAAAGCCTGGATTTTAAGAACACTGAGCCTGGAGGTAATCAGATCTGAGTTCAAAAACCATTTATTCCATTATTGTTTTTGCCAGCATATAACACATGGTGGGGTGGGGTATATAAGTTGCATTCCAGGAAATTGGGGGGAGGAGCAGCATTTTTTTAGTGTCAGTATAATAGTGATTAAGAACACAGACCAACAGTTCCAATCCAGGCTTTGCTGCTTCCCAGCTGTCATCTCGGTCAAGGTAACTGAGCTTCAGTCTCATCATCTATACTGAACTGACCTATACTTTGAGTGTAAGGAATTAAATTTACACAGTACTTCACAGAGTTGTGAGTTAATATTTACAAAGCACTTAGATCAGTGTCTGGCATGTGTAATTGCTATATGTTAGCTACTATTATTTAAATCATACATGTTTAAGAAATTTTAAAGTGTTTTGTAGGAAAAGTACTTTCTTCATGTAAATAAAGTATATAAGAACCCAGTTGAAAATAATCAATAAATTCTACATATAGTAGCCCAATAAACCTTTAAAAAGTTTAAATCAAACAGCTAAAAAGAAATATACTGCTAACAATGAGTAGTGGTACATGGTAGGCAAGCAACAGAACACAAGTAAGTACCAGTAAATAAATTCTCATTGAGTATATATGAAAGCAAATACCATTAAATATTGGTTTGTGTTGGGGCCCCCAAGAACAGCCTCAGGTTTGACGATTCTCTGGGAAATCTCACAGGACTCAGCACATCGTCTTACTCATGGAGGATTTATTACAATGAAAGGATACAAAGCAAAATCAGCAAAGGGAAAGGCACATTCAGAAAAGTCTGGAGGAAAGCACAAGCAAGCTTTTTAAGTCTTCTCCTAGTGGAATAACACGGGACACATTTAATTCCCCCAGGAATTACAACACATGAAGTACTGCCAACCAGGGAAGCTCATTAGAGACTTAGTACCCAGGGCTTTTGAGTGAGGACTGATCATATAGGCAACTCTCTTTCCTACACATACCCAAATTCTAACTCCCAGTAGGAAATCAGGTGTTCAGCATGAACAGTTTAGGCGGTGAGTCACTCTTATTAATTAAAGGAGTGCTGAGTGGGAACCATCCCAAAATCAAAGTTCCTGTGCTCCAGACAAGGGCCAAACTTGTAAGCAGGCCTTTCTAAGTATAAGCAGTCGGACCTACTATGAACTTTTTTTTGCACAGCTTAGCATAACATGAATTTAATCCAACTCATATACAGTTCATCTAGTAAAATGTGCCAGTAAAAAATGGTAAAGAGGCAAATCTACTTATTTGAATGAATTCCTGTAGCCATATTACCAAGAATGCCCACCTTTGCTGTTTGGTATTGCCATGCTCCACCACTAGGAGGCAGCATTACCAGCATTGCCTTGGCTGACTTAATGCTTGAACTTTAAGTGAGTATTTTCATTAATTTAAAAGCATTCTTCATCCAGACAATGCAGAAGTATTAATATTAGCACAGTAAATAAATAATTTAAGAAATCTGGTGTGTACTGTGCATGCTAGGAATAGGAGGTATGATGAAGAATGAATTTCCTTCTAATGTTAAGGTAGTCCCTCTTTTATGCTGTAGATACAACTGTTGTAAACTTGTGATAATTTTGCTTGTTTTAATTAGTAGCATTATTACTACATCTTACCCCAGGCCCCTTAACTATAGACCTTTGTTTTTTAAAAGTGCTTGACCCTCTATCCATAGTATAGATGCATGCATATAGTACATTATGCTAACAAACCATGTGACTCTTGAAGCTGTTGCCTTATCTTACCTAATTG